AACAGGCAGTTTTGCGGTGACGCATGGGCGTACCTTCAAAGTAGCGAGCATGCTGTTGATTTTCTCAGACATGAAACTTTATTTTAATATCTTCTGCAAGGAAAACATGTCTGGAGTCTTGACCATGTTTGGTCTGAAAATGTAAAAATGTTTTTTGTTTAAGCAATTTCCCCAGCCTAAGTTTCCCTCTTCTTTGATTGAAGTTGTTGGTTTGTTGCGCACAGTTGAATAAGATCGCTAGGTAGAAGCATATTGAACGAAGATCATGTCTACACGTCCTTGTTTGCGTCTTGGTACAAATTTGGCGCCCCGGGTTGCATTTTGGGATCGTGATTTGGGTCCAATTTTGGGGCCAGTTTTGGATTTCATTTTTGTGCACCATTTTTGGGTCCCTACAATTAAAAACAAAATCAGAGGCCCCAAAATGGTGCCCAAAAACGGAACCCAAAACTGGCCCCAAAAATGGACCCAAATCAGGATCCCAAAATGCAACCCGGGGCGCCAAGGACGCAGCAAACAAGGATGTGCAGTCATGATCTTCATTCAATGATCTTCTACTTAGCGATCTTATTCAACTGTGCGCAACAAACCCATTACCTCAATCAAAAAAAGGGGAAACTTAGGCCGGCGAAATTGCTTAAACAAAGAACATTTTTACATTTTCAAACCAAACATGGTCAAGACTCCAGACATGTTTTCCTTGCAGAAAATATTAGAATAAAGTTTCATGTCTGAGAAAATCAACAGCATTCTCGCTACTGTATACATAAATATATATATATATATAAATAAATAACATAAATCAATAAATATATTTAAATAAATATATATATATATTGTATATTTAATATTATACATATTATATGAACGTTTGATATCATTTTTACCCCAAACATGGGATGATGGTCCACATGACCATCGTGCAACCAGCGAAGAACACTGAACTCCAACTCATGGCGTCTGTTGGGGGGATGGTATATCTTGTATACTCCCAAAACCTGCATCCCAGTTTTAAATTACCCATGACATATCCCATGATGGTTGGTGATATCCCCATCCATCCCCATTTGGTGATCATATGTTTTTCAAGCATAGGGACGATGATACCCAATAAGGAACCAATGAATTTCAGGGTTGCTCACACTCAATCACCAACCATAAAAACCAAAATATATCCCACAAAAACCATGGTTATGGTTGGTTATATCCCATCCCATCCAAATATTGATTGTAATTTTTCTTACCGATGGGGGGAAGTCACATGTTCCCATCATATTCTCAGAAGAAATCCCAGAGAATTCCCATCACGCCATGGTGACTAAACTCAGGCACTGAGCCTGCGCCCTCGCTGGCTGCAAGGAGAGCGATTGCCTTTCTATCTTTTGATGACTATGAATAATAGAAAACATGGATACAGTAGGCTAGAATCTATATATATCTATATATCTATATATACATATTGATAAAAAAACATAGGCTAGATACATATTAAGTTTCTATATACTGTCGTACATCGTCCATATTGATTGACACATTTAAGATGAATCCTCCGAGCTGCTTGCAAAATCATCAGTTGTCAGATTATTTGTAGTTGTAAGATATTTTCTGCTGCGGTTTAAGCATGTTGAAGCAACATATGGATCAATAGTCGGTTTAGCAATGAAGACTTCGGCCGTCTCACGCATTTTGCTGGCGTGAATCCTTGCAATGTTCATGGCGATCTGCGAAAGGTTGTGGTCTTCGCCAAGGGGCCGCTTTTACTTCCATTGCTTAGATATGACATTTTTTTTGCATATGGGCAGTGGATCAAATTTTAAGTCTGAGGGGACCACACATTTCATTTGATGTTCAGGGACCAATAATAGCAATGGTAATAATGATGAACACAACAACGATAGCAATAGCGATAATGATGATATATTTTCTCTACATAGCAAACCATCCAATTTAGGGGCACCACATGACTCGACCCATGCTTGTAACACCATTTAAGTTGGTTCGACGCCACAATATTGGTCATAGTCCCCATGACAACCAACTGTTTTCGCTGGGGCGATATTCAAAGTTTTTTGTAGACTTTACCAAAAACACATTCTGGGATATTGATCGGGTTGTCCCACCACAAACAGAGGATGGTGAAGGTTTAAGAAATGGGCCAAGAACAAACGTGTGTGCTGCCCTGGTGACTGGCAATGTGGGTTGGGTGACAAAGCACGTTTTTCTCTCCCCAATACTGTAGCATCACAGGATTTACCATCTGGTAAACCAACAGTTTGCTATGGAAAGTCACCATTTCAATAGGTAAATTAACTATTTCTATGGGCCATCTATACCATAGCTATGTTAATTTACCAGAGGGTATACGAGCTCTTGCATCTGTCTCCTGTGCAGGACTAAGAAAGCGGAAGAGGTGACCGAGGGAACCCTGGAGCGGTGAGAGAAACTGGTGACGAACTAAAGGAGACTTCCTGGTTTCAAGTTTCAACTGTTGTTTCTGGGTCATGAATTGGAATCTAAGTCAATGGGTGATTTCTCTAGCGACTCTAGCCACTTACCGATACAATTGGCATTTACTCTACAGAAAACCAGGGATTCTCCGATCGAAGAGACGGGCTTCCACCTGATTCTTCTTGGTGAAAGCAGGCATACCTGGCGCGAGTGCGACGAAACAGGAGACTTTTGGGGCAATAAGTCATAGCTTCTGAGACTTTGGAGGGGTTCAATACCTCAAACTTCAGATGTGGCATGGTCAAAAGCTTGGATAATGCCTCCATATTGAAAGATGATCATCAATCCATCAATAGGGAATAGATAGATAGGTTCCAATATGTTTGTATATATACCAATTTGTTCAGGGTTCCCATGGTGGAATGGATGACAATACCACATTAATCCCATGTAATGTGACCATGTCCAAGGGAAGCGATTTAGCTAACTATGGGACACTTCCTTGCTATATGAGCAACCAAAAGCAAGAGCAACCAAAAGCAAGATCAGTGGGATTATCATGACTCCACCCAGGAATCATTCTCATTTTGGTGGATTTCCCCTCAAATCAGCTAGATCTCATATTGCTTGGTCGGATCACTTGCCCAAGTTCTCATGGTTGACTTATACTCTGCTCATCAAGCCGGGTTGAAATCCCATGTGACACGTGACGGAAAATCCTCCATGAATGGATCGAAATGCAGGATTTTATTAGGTCAAAATACCCAGAGGATAAACAAATAAACGGGATTCAACCACAATATTGGGTCAACCGCGGTTGAGTTCAACGATCATTTTTTTTGCTTCCAAAAAGGCACCCAGCTAAGCATTCTAAAAGTGTTGCAGCCCTCTAAAACTTGGCAGGACTAAACTGGATATCATGATTGGGTTGCTTTCAGGGAAGAATCGCAGGAAACCCTTAGTCCAAGTCTATCGTCTCTACAAGGGGAGGTCCTTAAGATTAGGACGCCCCAAAATAATTCGTTTCCCCCAGGAAAAAGTCGGTTCCCTTTTATGAAACCATTATGTTTACCACCAAAATACGCAACCTCCTCATTGGGCGGTGCCCTGTTTGGAAGGGACTCCAACCGCACTTGACTTCGCCATCACTGGCCCTCAGCGGACCGAGTCTCTTTCCCAAGCAATGCACCAACCTGTCAGCGCCGCGGCTGCCTATGCGGACCTCAAAGCAAACCACCAGGACACTGCGCGGCTCTGCTCCGCCCAGGGCATTTGTTTCCGCCCCATGGTGGCCGAAACCCCCCGCCCTTGGGACAAATCAGCGGCCCATGTGCTTCACATCATCGCAGCTGCTGTTGCTGCTCGAGAAGGGGCGACGGTTGCTGAACTTAACCAACGCCTCTTACAGGAGCTTTCGGTGACTGCCCGCCGCTTCCGAGCCCAAGCTGCTCTCCGGCGCCGAGCCGAGCTGACCAGCCAGATGCCGCCCCTCTCACGGGCTTCAGCCGTCTTGCTGGAAAGCTGAGAGCTTTTGCGTATACTGTCCTATGCCGTGGCCATTGACTTGTGAGAGCCGGGGGTTGATTTTCCTTTTCACCTTTTGCGTTGCCATTCTTTGTGCTCAGTGCACGCTGTGGCCTTTTTCGAGCTTTCTAGTGTAGTTGCTGGTCCACAGGTTATTTTGCGAGCTTGGCCCCTGACTTTTGGCACAGTGCCGTCATTTGTCGCCTTGCCTCCTGCTGGACGCTCTGTGCCTACACTCTTTTCTGTTTTGCTTCCTTGGCATATTGCTCCTTTTCTCTCCTCCGCCAAGGGGTCAGGAAACTAAGCAGGAATTTCCAAGTGATCTAGCTCTGCGATTTTCTCGCTGATGCAGAAGGCATCAGTTTGTTTTTCTCCAGTAGCATGGTCAATTGTCCATTTTTAGGTCCTCCAAGGTCCTCCAGTTTTGAATCCATGGCGCCAGACGGGCGATCATCTGAGGGATTGTAACTGATCAATAGCCCTCGTCTGTAAGTCCCTGATTCTTGGGTTCTCCCATTTCCAAAACATGTGAACAACCTCCACAAGCACCAGCCAGTTGCGAAGTTTCTAAGTTGGTTATATGAATATATATATATATAATATATATATTTATACACACACACAACACACACATATATATGTATACATATATATATTGTGAATTTCCAACACTTTCCTGCTGTGATGTTCCCTTGAAGCAACCATGTGCACTCCATGTGAACTCATTTTCCGCAGACGTGTCTGCTGTGGTCAGCTTGGGTGGAACGAGGGAGGTGAATACCTCTTGAGCCATAGACGTTTGCCGTGGCCGGCATTTGCAGAAGCTTGGGTTGCTTGGATTCCGATCGAGCAGAAGCTGAGTGGTGAAAAGGCGTGGCCGCCTTCCAATTGCGATTGAGTGTGGATCCTTGGTGTTAGGATACTGGTTGTGAACCAATCACATTGGTAGCGGGAGCCTCCTAACCAGGGGGTTCCTTACAGAACTGGAAAGGTCAAGCTGAGGGAAAAGTTTGGCTTGGCCGACAGCCATGTCGGAATCTTCTGGCGGCACCGAGACACAGGTGCCTACGCAGTTGACAAATCTGGTGCCACAGTTTGATCCCGCACAACATGACTTGGAACAGTACACACAGAAGGTAGAACTGCTTTCAAGTATTTGGCCAGCAACGAAGATGAATGAACTTATCACACGTCTCATACTGGGAACGAGTGGAGCTGCGTTTCAGAAACTACAGCTCCAACGAAGCGACATGATGACCGGAGATCAGAAGGGTGTGGAACGCCTCGTGACCATTCTTGGAGGTCAATGGGGCAAAATATCACTTGAGAAGAAGTATGAAACGTTTGAGAAAGCCATCTACCGTTGCCAGCAGCGAAATGATGAAAGCAATGATAGCTACCTTGCCAGAGCCGATGTCTTGTGGACAGAACTCTTGACAAGCAAGGTGTCTCTGCCGGAACTGCAGGCATATGCCATTCTCAGAGGATCGCAACTGTCAGCAGAGGACAAAAAGCGTGTCATTTTGGAGTCAGAAGCCACCACCCAGGGAGTGCTTGAAATGTCTAAGGTGAACGCAGCCGTGAGAATGCTGGGATCAGGGTTTTTCCATGATGTCACCGGTGCCAAAAAGATCAAAGGAAAGATCTATGACAATCATGCTCTCATAGCCGAAGATGTAGCAGAATCTGAACAGGTCTTGGTAGCCGAGGAAACCTTCGAAGAGGACTTCGTTGATCAGTTAGCTGCTGAGGGTGACGATGATGCAATTCTGGTTTGTGAGTATGAGTCAGCAATGCAAGACACCATACAAGAAGATGAAGAGTTAGCCCAAGCCTACAATGCATACACCGAAGCCAGAAAGAGGTTGAGTGATCGGTTCAAGAATCGAGGTTTCTGGCCTAGCAGTGGTTCGTTCAAAGGCAAGTCAAAGGGGTTCAAGGGGAAAGGAAAATCCAGCCTGAAAGGCAGTCGCAAAAGCCTGCAACAACGGATTTTGGAATCCAACTGCCGCATTTGCGGCAGAAAGGGTCACTGGAAGTCCGAATGTCCAGATAGGCCACGAAGTACAGCTGGTCAGTCTTCCTCAAGCCAAGCCCCTACCATGACAGTGTCCACCATGCCAGAACCGTTTCCATCAGAGGAAACACTGCCTTTGGAGTTCACGATGCTGCCAGAAGTTCATGATCAACCGATCGATGACACCAGTCCGCAGCTAGCTCATGTCCATGTTTGTAATGGGGTTAATCAAAAGGGATGTAAACATCCTAAACTGGGGTATTATCTTGCTAAATGGCGGGATAACTATCAATGGGGAGTAAATTCACCTGCAAATCAGCATCCGCTCAGGAGTGAAGCCAGTCTCCTGAGACCGCAACCGAGACAGAATGAGCCAGCCACAGCCGTGCATTTTGCCGAAAAGCTTGCAAAAGACGAGCAGATTTTGTTCGCTTCCCATGGAACGCATGGTATCCTAGATACTGGCGCGACCAAAACGGTCATGGGCAGCAATCAGGTGCCAGAGCTTTTACAGCAACTGCATCCAGAGATCCGAAAGCGCACGTACAGATGTCAATGCAAGATCACCTTCCGGTTCGGAAATGAAGGCACGTTGGACAGTCAGCATGTAATTGTCATACCCTTAGGACAAGTGGGTCTTAAGATTGCCATAGTTCCTGGAGGTACTCCTTTGTTGCTTTCCAACTCACTGCTCCGAACCTTGAAGGCACAGGTAGATGTTTCTCAAAAGGTCCTGATCAGTCCGTTTCTGAAGAAACCTGTAAGTTTAAGTCTGAACGGAAGAGGTCTTTTCCTGGTTGACATCAATGAACTTGCTTTATCATCAAGAACAACAGGGCCCTCAGCCGAGACCTTTATGCACGAGACACTGGATGCGAAGTCACTCCAGGAAACAGGGGTGAGCCCAGTCCGTTTGAGTTCACATGTCATGTCCGAGAACACTGCCGAAATGATGCAAACACAGAATGCAAAGCATACCCAGTCACATGCCACACATGTCCAATCAACACCCAACCAAGCCGCATGTTCTAACCACCATTTCCATGATGCTCACAAGAATGTTCAAGACACTCACAATCATGATCATCAACTTGAGACTCAACATCCACCACAGAATGTGATGTATCGGAAAGATGACAGAGATGCCCTTACGTCTCAGCCTGGGTTCGAGAAGTTATTTGATCGATCACCACCACCCCCGCACTGCCAGCATGAGCCTATCCGAGCGCCTGAGCAGACTCAGCTCCTCCAAGGGAGATCCCGAGGAGATGGAGAAATTCAAGTCGCTGTCACTGGAAGAGATGGGATCGTCACCCATCACCTTCGGAAAGGCACATTTGGGCCGTCCATTTGCAGAGATCTGGAATCAAGAAGCCAAGTGGCTCCAATGGTTTGTGCGCACCTACGAGACGTCCCAAAAGATCGATCACATGAAGCTGCTGCATTACGTGACCCTCATGATCGAGAGGTCCGAGATGGAGGCACCCACGGAGCCTTCACAGATGCCAGTTCCTCGTCCCAAGCCAAAGCCGAAAAGTCAACCAGCCCCGACGGTGTCAGAGATCTCCGACGAGGAGGATGCTTGGCTAGAGATGCAGAACCCACCGACATACTCCCTGAACGCCATGGAGTCCGAGAACATCATTGCGCTGCAGTCGCGCATGAATCAGTTGGAGGGAGCCGTGAGCGAGATTCTAGGCCTGCTGAGACACCAGTCTTGAGTGACTCATTGTGGGCTATGGGACTCCAAAATGCCGGAGACCTGGACAGTGATGATGTTTGTTGCAGTGCCACCCAAGTGTCTCAGTATCAAAAGCAATTTCAAGAATTGGTTCAACAATTGTCCAAAGAGTTTCAGAACGCATTCAAGCTCACAGAGAAACGTCAAGGGTCACAGCTGCAGGTTCTTGAGGTGTTCTGCGGTCCACAAAGTCAACTCACACATCAAGCCAAGAATTTGGGATATAGAGCCGAACGTTTTGGTTTCCAACAAGGTGATTTGTCCACCATTGAGGGCAGAGAGAAACTGTTTCATTTGGTTGTTCAAAGGCAGCCCCAGAACTTGTGGTTCAGTCCAACATGTGGACCATGGTCAGCATGGAACAACCTCAATGCAGCAAAGTCCGTGTCAAGTTTTGACTCCATCCATCGTCAGCGGCTACAGCACTTGTACCAGGTCGCTCTTGGTGTTGTTTTGTTCAGATACCAATACTCACAGAAAAGACATTTCCACTGGGAACAGCCTCGCAGATCCCTCATGTTCATGACGCCGTTGCTAAGAGAGATCTATGAGTACACATACAGTGCGAAGTTTGACATGTGCAATGTGGGGTCGCCCAAAGATCCTGAGAACCACCAATTCATCCAAAAGGGTCTGGAAGTGCGCACCACGTCACATGTCGTGTACAGCCAGCTGCATGGTAGGTTCTGCCGGCACGACCATGAACATCAAGTGCTGGAAGGGTCGACTGTCCACCAAGGGGTTAGGAAGAACCGAACAGAGTTTTCCGAAAACTACCCAAGAAAGTTTGCCCGCAGCCTTGCCAAGATGTTAACAAGTTTTGCCAACATCCGTTCAGAACCAAAAGATTTTTCTCAGTGGAATGAGGTGTTTGCTGCAGCGGTGAAACGACAGTCTTCCACCCGTGCTGGGACAAAAGAATCGCCAGCAAAGCGCATCCGGACAAACACTGCCAAGAAATCAGAGCCACTCACTGACTCCAATAAGAGGAAACGCAAGGACGAGACCAATCCCAAAGACTTCAATATGACCCAAAGGGATGACTTATATGATCTGTGCAATAAAGTCCATAGCCAACTTCCCAGAGTAGGCCGCAAAGAAATCCTTGAATCCGAGATCATTCAAAACATTCAAGAAATCATTGGAGAAAAGAAAGTGGTTCGAGTTCTTGCCTGCAAGGGAACCGAACGCATGCTGGCACCTCCCAAGAACATGATGCATGGAGAAGCTCCCTTTAGAAAGACCATAGCACTCGAACGTGGTACCAAAAGGGTATGGATTGAAAATGAATGGGAGGAATGGGAAATACTTTCCCAAAGACAGCTAATCCGAGGTTTAATCCCGTGTGCAGTGAATATAACAGTGTTTGGCTGCAATCCATCAGAAATTTCACCGAGCTCAGCCGAAATTCAGCCGAGACAGGAGTCACAATCCAATGTCCCGGAAGGACAAACACACCCGACTCCTGTGATGGAAAGGCCTGCACAAGACAGTGCTACCGAGCCATCACCATGCAGACCCAAGACAGAGACATCCGATCAAGATTTGTTTTCCCGCAACCTGCAGATTGACTGTGAAAATGTTAATCAGGGTCCCAAGTTCAAATCACTGTCAGGTTATGAAAGACAGACCCTGCTCCGGTTGCACAAGAATCTTGGACACCCATCCCCGCAAGTACTGGCACAGGTGCTTCGTCAACAAGGATATCCCAGTCATTTCATCAAGGGGCTTGAAGACATGAAATGTTCGACGTGTGTTCAGCAGCAAACACCAAAGATTCAAAGGCCTGCCACTTTGAAATCAGAACTTGATTTTGGGGATAAAATCTCAGTTGATGGCATCACCTGGCATAACAAAAGTAACAACAGGTTCCACTTTTATCACTACATTGATCACGGTACCAATTACCACACGGCCACTATTGCCCCCAACAGAACAACTGAGTGGGCCATGGAAAAGATAACCAATGGTTGGTTGTCATGGGCAGGGCCTCCAAATGAAGTGATTGCAGATTCCGCTACAGAATTCAACAACCCGGAATTTGACCAGTTTCTCCGACAATTCAATACAAAGCTCACCATTATCCCACCACAAGCACACTGGCAATTGGGTAAGACCGAGCGACATGGAGATGTATTGCAACACATGCTCAACAAATATCAAGAAGATTTCCCAATTGAGAACTATAGTGACCTGCAAAGAGCTCTTATGGTTTGCACTGCTGCCAAGAATGCATGTAGCTTGCGTCATGGCTTTGCACCCGAAGTGCTTGTGTTTGGAAAAGGGTTGAAAGTTCCAGGCTCACTCACAAGTGATGACACATTACCGGCTCATAGCCTTGCTAATGAAGATTCCGCCTGGGGCATCAGATTCCGAACACAACTCGCCATGAGAGAAAGTGCGAGAAAGGCCTTCCATGAGGCTGACAACAAGGCAGCCCTTCGCCGTGCTGCTCTACGACGAGAAAGACCAAGCCGGGGATTCTATAACCCAGGGGAATGGATAATGTATTGGAGATCTGGAGAAACCTCAAAGGGTTGGAATGGCCCAGCCAAGGTCATTCAGCAGGATGGCAGATCGTCCGTGTTCTGTTTACACCGGGGCACACTTGTCAGAGCAGCTCCTGAACATGTGAGACCAGTAAGTGCACTTGAAGCCCAAGATATACCCAACATAGTGCCTTCCAATCAAGATGCAGGTAACCTCATGGGCCAAATTTCCCACAGTTCACCAATCTCACATAACGAAGTTCTTAACCCAGACATTCCCAATGAAATAAACACCAATAATAACTCATCCAATGACCATGGACCCAACACTCAGAGACAAGTGCCCACAACCGTGCGGTCAAATCCAGAAGGGGACAATCCTGAGGGGAATGACCAGAATGCCTCGCCTAACAGCCAGTCAAGCGTACAGCCAGATCAAGAACCAGACCTCGAATTTCAACAACCACCACCTGACATACATAACCCAAATATTGCCATTGAAACACCAGTCCCAGATGATGATGATGAGCTGGTCTGCGACCTGTTAACATGCTCCGATGTTGCGAATGAAATGCCTGTGCCATCCAGTGCCAACTATGCCTGGCGAATGGAACTCGAAGTTCCTGAGGTGATCTCGAGTGACAGCTACATGCCAATAGAGGATCTCATCCTTGTAGCCACCAACCAGAAGAAACAAAGAACCGAGGTAAAATTGAGCACACTGTCACCAGAGGAAAAGGAAGAGTTCGAAAAGGCCAAGCAAAGTGAGGTCAATAATTGGCTTCAAACAGGCACAGTTAGCAAAGTCCTGCGCGATCAACTGTCACCAGAACAGATTTTGCGCTGTCGTTGGATCCATGTCTGGAAGCCGATAGAAGATCCAAAGGAACAACAACGACATGGAAAATGCCGGAAGGCCAAGTCACGACTCGTTGTCCTAGGATATATGGACCCAGAACTAGAGACCATTCCAAGGGATAGCCCAACGCTGAATCGACAATCAAGAATGCTAATTCTTCAAATGATTGCTTCCTTAGAATGGACCCTTAGATCCTTTGACATCAAGGCAGCATTTCTGCAAGGCAGGACCCAAGAAAATCGCACGATAGCAATTGAACCAGTTCCTGAACTCATGAAGGCAATGAACCTAAAGGAACGAGAAGTTTGCCGGTTGGAAAAATCAGCATATGGCCTAATCGATGCACCATACCTGTGGTTTAAAGAACTTGATCGAGTACTCCGACAGCTCTCTTTCATTCCATCTCCATTTGATCCCTGCGTTTACCTCTTGTACAAGGAAGGGTCAGACAAACCCTCCGGTGTAATTGGTATGCACGTAGATGACGGACTGTGTGGTGGAGATTCATTCTTTGATGAACAGCTCAACAAACTCGAAGCGATTTTTCCATTTGGAGCCAAAAAGTCCCAAAGTTTTACATTCACGGGAATCGAGATGAATCAACTTCCCAACAAAACTATAATCTTATCTCAAGAAAAATACATTTCCAAGATTGAACCGATCCACATCAAACCTGACCGGAAGGAGACACCTGAGTCCAAGGTAAATGAAGACGAAAGGCTTGGCCTACGAGCCCTGATAGGGTCACTCCAGTACGCGTCAGTGAACACGAGACCTGATTTGGCAAGCCGGTTGAGTCACCTCCAAAGCACGATCAACACTGCCACAATAGCCACTTTGATTGAAGCAAACAAAGTACTTCATAATGCCAAGAAACACAAAGATGTAACTCTCAAAATACAACCAATTGAATTCCAGAAAATCAGATTCCTGGCATTCTCAGATGCCTCATTCTCATCCAAGAAACAACCGGATTCTCATACGGGTATGATCATCATGACGACACATTCCGATATTGCAAAGAATCACCAATGCCCAGTGAATCCAATCAGCTGGGGTTGCAAGAAGATTCAGAAAGTGGTAGTCAGTACACTGTCAGCCGAAACAATGTCTTTGAACTCCACACTTGATCAATTATCATGGTTACGTTTGTTTTGGGGTTGGTTTCAAAATCCGTGGTTGAATTGGAAGCAGTCCAAGCAAACACTCAAAGAGTTGCCACCAACCTATGCTGCACCCACCATGAAAGAAGACATCAACTCTATCGCTGTAACAGACTGCAAATCCTTGTATGACCTTGTGACCAGAACAGCCCCACCAAGCTGTCAAGAGTTCCGAACTCAACTGCAGGCTCGAGCCATAAAGGATCTCTTGAGTGAAAATGTGACCTTGAGATGGGTCCACAGCGGTGCACAAGTAGCAGATGCTTTGACCAAAATCATGGAATGTGCTTTTCTTAGACATGTACTGTCGGTGGGTCATTACCGCTTACATGATGAAAATCAGACTCTGAAAGATCGTGCGACTTCACGCAACAGAATGCAATGGCTACAGCAAGAAACAAAGAACAAAAACTCTTGAGATTTTTATGTTTTGGGAGTGTGAATTTCCAACACTTTCCTGCTGTGATGTTCCCTTGAAGCAACCATGTGCACTCCATGTGAACTCATTTTCCGCAGACGTGTCTGCTGTGGTCAGCTTGGGTGGAACGAGGGAGGTGAATACCTCTTGAGCCATAGACGTTTGCCGTGGCCGGCATTTGCAGAAGCTTGGGTTGCTTGGATTCCGATTGAGCAGAAGCTGAGTGGTGAAAAGGTGTGGCCGCCTTCCAATTGCGATTGAGTGTGGATCCTTGGTGTTAGGATACTGGTTGTGAACCAATCACAATATATGTATATATATATATGTATATATATATATATGTATATATATATATATGTATATATATATATATGTATATATGTATATATATGTATATGTATATATATATATGTATGTATATATATGTATATATATATATATGTATATATATATATGTATATATATATATATATATGTAGACATATCCCAGTGCATCCTCTTGTATCCCTGTTGTTGTTGGTTTTAAATCATGTGGGATAAACCTCTATTTATGAAGATTTTAAATTGGGAAAATAAGGATAATCAGTGGGATTTGGCGGTACTCTATTTTCAGACAAGACAAATTATTAAACCATCCCCCATAGGCGTTTATGCAATCGGGTATGTCCCTACTTGAATGTAAGATGACCCGGGTCAGAATTGGGGATGGCTGATTATTGGATTACCACTGTAACAGGGTTTCAGATCAGCCCCAAGAAATCCAATATCAAGTTGGTATCCCCATTATATCCCATCAAATCAGCATCGTTGTTGCTTAACATCCCCCTAAATCACCACTCTTGTTGGTTAAATGACAATTTTTGTTGGTTCATTTCCCACCTTTGGTTAGCTAAATGCATGTTTTTGTTGGTTCAATTCCACTAAAACACAATGAGTCTTGCTTAAAATCTCCATCGCTAGGCTGATCCTTCCAAGTCCGCCCCAGGAGTCGCCCACTGTCTTCTGACCGCGCCACCCGCAGTCGTAGCCAGGCGCACCGCGGGGCGGCCGCCGTGTCGGGGGCCTCAACGCACCAGCGACCCAAGTGAGCCAAATGACCTGGGGCAGCCATCTGATGATACAAATGTGAATAAACCGGCCCTAAAATCACCATAAATGGGAGGTATAAACTTTATAAACTATCCCAAATGATATTTTAGGGTATAACCATCCAGCTATACTAGCTATTACCAAGGTATTTTGGTAGTAGCTGGTGATCTGGGAAATAACCATCGAGCTATACTAGCTACAACTTAGGGTACCGTTTGGGCACCCATTTTTGGGATCTAGAACCATCCCATTTCTTGGAGGTACAGAATTTTGAGTTCACATATGAAAACGTGTTGACTCAAGTCATATTCATCCTGCGACTATTGGGAGGGGGATAGCCGCATAGCCCAAACCAGAATATGTAGTTTTGTTTGACTATGGGGGAATACCTCATTTGTATGGTCATTAAAAAATGGGATATTATGGGATGGCATGCTGAGAAACCATAGGACAGGGTAGACGACGGTCTGCATAGTTATTGTTGGAGTTCCCATTCTTTGGACATCTTTGATCCATATGTTGATTTCCATATCAACATGGCTTGCAGGCCCATTTCATTTTGTGTTGTTGATTTATATTTTAAGAAATTTATAGAATTTGTATGAATTTGTGCCATTCATTCTATTTGAGTTTGGCCTCGACCTCGAAGCAACTGGCGCTGATTGCCCTGCGCTGAGGAGCAACGAGGAGGTGCGTGCCACCGACAGCGAAGCTGGGGGCACAGGAACTGATTGGTGATCGGAGAGATGATGTGGCCAGTGGGGAAGTTATCTATCTGTCTATGTATATATATATATATACTATATACATACACATAGATGTAGAATAAATAAATAGATAGATAAATAAACAAATGTATATATATATATATATCTATTCTAGTACTGTACCCCCCCGGTAGCCGGGGTAGACCAGCGATCCGCTTTTTGGCAGAGGGGATCATCCCAATTTGGCTCAGGTGATGGGCACCTCTCTGTCAGAGGTGCCACCTAAATGGTCCCAATTCTGTGGCAAATCCCTACTGAACCATGGTTTCGTTTAGGTGGTGTTTAAAAAAAAGGGGGAAGGAACTAGCATATTGCTACGGGTTTGATTGGTTTGATTCACTCATGTGTGAGTCATTGCAATATATTGTAATGGGTATGCAGAGAGTTAGAGCCAGCTCATGTAAATGAGAACCACCAGCAGCCTAACTGATCATGGAGATTTCAGGCAGTCATCTGCTTTGACGGGAAAGTAGCACAGGAATTTAAGTCAGGGATGAATCCAATCACAAGGAAAAACTAACAACTTGTGAGCCCAGCCTTGAATTCCAGCTGATTTTGAGGCTTGTCTTGCTCCAATGTGACAGTTTCCTCCATGTGTCTCTGTGTCACTTTCCTATGGGTCATCAATCCAGGGATTTACTCAGCCGACAGCGCCATGCTTGGAGGGCGATCGACTCACCGTCACACTGCTTGGGATCATCATGTTCCACATTTCCGAACAGATGAAAGTTTAGTGTGGTCTTTTGAGTCTTTTGATTCACAGAGTCATGTATACACATATCTACTTATAATATAGTTATAATATAATTATAATATAATTATATATATATGTATATATATATATATAAGGTATCGGATTCTCGGATCGGTTGTCTTTCCTCTCCATACAAGTCGAATCCTCAGTCGACGAATAACCGGTGGATCCCATAGACCGCAGGCCTCTCCAAGGAACCAAGCTCCGCAGAGAACTGAGTGATCTGAGATCTCTGAGTGCTAAGCCTCTCGTGGCTTTTTGGATTGTGAGCTCCTCCAAAGAGCCACTCAAGATTTCTCTTGAGTTGAAGAGTTCGCTTTAATTCCCATCTATGTTGATAGTGATAATTCTATGATTGTGATAATTGAACTCTATGTTGATTGTGAGATCAGAAACCCTTTGATGGTCTGATAGTCTGATTCCGATAGAAATTGCACAGGGGTCCCCAGGTTCAGCCTCGGCAGCCTCCTGGCGGATGCTGAAGATGTGGCGCAAGACGAGGTCGACTTCACATGGCGAAACAGCGGGAGATTTCATGGGACTTCACCAACTTAAAATGCTAACGTTGCTTAACTTGAGGATTACCCAACGATAATAGGAGTTAACCTTGGCAATACTTGAGGACTTAACCAACTGTTGCCCAACAATACTTGAGGATTTATCAAGAAAAACCAGTTGACACTGGTAATGCTACTGACACGAGGCAATGTGCATCTGGGTTCGTTTGAATGGGGAAAATCGTTCTCTCAATCAATGGATTCTGTGGTACTCCTCAGACAAATCCTTTTTTTCAGTGGTAAACCAGCCCCAAGAATGGGGTATGTCAGAGTTTGGGCATTGCTTAGGACCCACAATCAATCATGACATGGCTTATTGGGATCGATTGAGGTGATCAGTTAGAGGTGAATCATTTTGACCAAAATTTTTGAATGAGGCCAAAAGAACCATCACTGGACCATCACAGTCCAAGACTTCCAACAATAGGGTATATATATATTATGACTAAATTCACTATATAATAATAGGATGGGTTATAGTTATAATATATATATATACTATATATACACTATATATAATTCCAGGGCAAGCCTTTTGGGCAGCATAGCGCCGACATTTTCTTCCCATGGGGAATGGATTCAGAAAGATGAGTGTGTGATACGCCATGCCGAGACGAAGCTGAAAACATGGTGGATTTGTCTGAAATCATGGGATTGGCCATGGCCGTTAAATGGGAACATTCTGTATAAACTATGGGATCGAATGGTGTACTTAGTTATATACTGTATATATACTATATATAATATAGATATAATATATAATATATAATATATAATATATAATATATAATATATAGTATATAGTATATAGTATATAATATATAATATATGATATATGATATATGATATAATATAATATATAATATATAGTATATAGTATATAATATATGATATATGATATATGATATAATACAATATATAATATATAATATATAATATATACTATATACTATATACTATATACTATATACTATATAATATATAATATATACTATATAGTATATAATATATAATATATGATATATGATATATGATATATGATATATGATATATGATATATATAATATATAATATATAATATATAATATATAATATATAATATATAATATATAATATATAATTCATAATATATACTATATACTATATAATATATAATATATAATATATAATATTTAATATATAATATATAATATATAATAAATATAATATAATATTTATATATACATAATATATAGTATATATATATATTATAACTATAACCCATCCTAACCCCATCATATCACCGTGATTCTTCATGGTTGATTATATCAAGAAACTGCAAGGGACACCACTTCAGGATCCTCCAGATCCTCCAGCGCGCTTTGAGAGTGAGCGCAGTGGCTGGCTGGCAGAAATCTGCAAAGAACACGAGAGACTTGGAGTTTGGGGGGAGGGGAGGGGGAAGGGGTGAGGGCCTGCAGTTTGCAGGATCATTTTTCGATATTTTCTCTGGAGTTTGCGGGGTAAAGTTCGGTGACCTCATCCCCATGGCGGTTCGGGAAATCAGACAATGCTGAGAAATTGCCATCGTTGAATCGGAAAACGGAGATGACGATTTTAGGTAAATCTAGCTTTTCATCCACCCTGTATTGGGGGGAAGCTGGGAAGGTGTTAGTCAGAGATTTTCTTTTTCTATCATCAGCTATCATCGCATTTTAAAGGGGTTCACCACTACTTCAGTGCCCAAGAATCTCCCCATTGGTGGGTCAAATGCAAATTCTGCTGAAATTGACATCCAAACGTGGCCTAAAACCACGTTTGGCCTTGTTTGAAAGTAGGGTACCTCAGTATCCCATGGTTTATCATCATATTTTTGATTAGAAATTGCAATAAAGTGTGTGTGTGTAAGTTTTCCTTTCTTGGGTCCATGATGTTATGCAATTTCATGGGGATAGTGACGGTTTTACCCTATCTTCAAAACCATTTTCTCCTGCAGCCAAGGAGTGTCCAGCCCTTGCCCAAGCGAGACGCCTTCTGCGCAGGTCGAGCAACTGCCGCTTGGCAATTGTTTGGATGAGGTGGGTCGAGTGTTGAAACCCCAACGTAAGATGTATAGAAATGGTGTAAATTGAAGAAAAAACATGAAGAATCCAAAGTTTTCTCCAGATTGTCCCAAAAACCAGGACCCAACCACAAAAAGTGGGGATCCAAGGACAAGACTTATCCGAAAATTGGGAATTTCATGCGCTTAAAACACTGAATTAAGCCACACACAGACGAGGGCACTTAGCGACAAATCATTGGGGATTTGAGCAACAGCAATCTGGATGACCAAGCCCCATAGATGATGGCTAGTATAGAGAGGAAGCCACCAGTTTCATGGCTTTAAATATGGCCTAGGTTTCATGATCTTCATGATCAATCATCCCAGCCATCGATTCTTGGTATCTCTAGTTTTTTTTGGCGCAATGTAGATTTTAGCCTGAAATGTTCCAGTCCCAACCAGCCCAACTTGTGAATTGGTGTTCAGTGAACATTTTCATTTGAAACCGCTGAAATTGCATTCCGAAACGAAGAAAAAAGACATTCCCAGACTTGATGGTAACAAACCATAACTGGGTTGTTGGTTTGAACATGTTTGAACTAGTTCTTTTGTATCAAAAAAGTGATGATCCCAATGACGATGAGCACATTTTCAGCAGGTTTCTCACCACCAAGTAGTGTGAAAATTGAGTGTAAAAAAACGATGTACTGTCCTTTGTACCATTTCCCTAGTGCTCCGAATACTCTCTGAGAAGCTGTTTAGACCCCAAAAAACCTCTAAATACAGTCTCAGTGTCGGTGTTTGGAGCTGTAGGGTTTATACCAATGTTCCAGGTGGTCCCCCTCCCAGGCTGAAGAAGAGACCACCATGGTTTTTGCGCTACCGGGCCAACGCGGCAGGGGACCAAGCTTGGCCAAGAAGTGTGGATTTGTTTAAAAAAAACCACAGAAACCAACAAGATTCCTACGGAAAGATTGTCCCCAAAGCTGAATTTTTAGGGAACATGACGTACGCATACGAGGTTGAAGAGGAACATGGATCGATAAATTATGATTTAAAGTCCTGAAAGCAAAGATAAATCGCAAAAAAGGAATCTGGAAGACACGATGTTCAGCACTTGAACATCGACAATTCTTGAGTTCGATATGAGTTTTTTGTGTGTACCCTCCAGTAGACAAACATGACAGCAGAACATCGTTTGCCGGAAAGCGGCCGTGGTACAACTCGCATTTTCTGGGCGAACAAATTCATCACCACCCCAAAGCCGATCCCAGGTAGTGGTTGATAGTTGTGTTCAGTGGTTCGCTTTTTTTTTGGTGTGACTGAGCTGTGACTAAGAATTCCTCCTTGATCATCTCATCGTGTCTTTTCGTTTGGATCCCATTTTTGCTGTTTAAACCGATTCAATAATTTGTTATCAACCAGCTACTGTCGCATGCACCTTGAAATGCCATTTGAAGGGATACATGTCCCACTTTGAGGCTTTCGACCATCACCAAAGCAAATCTGCGTGGTGTTTTGCGGTACTTTTTACTTTTTTTTTGTTTTCAACTTTTTTTCACTTCATGCTTGTGCGCGTGTCCAGAAATAGGGCACATCCCCAAAATGGCAATTTTGTACCGACACATATCTTCTAAACCAGCAGACAAATTCTGTGATGCGGTTTCTGAAACAGGGGGAATCCAACATCATCCAAAATCCAAAATCATCCCATGTTTTCATTTTTCATCGGAAAATCCGCAGGCTTTAAGAAAGCGCCATGTTGAGACAAATTCCGCGGCATCTGAGGCAGCGAGGAGAAAACGTCAGGGCTGGACACAGTGCTTCGAGCGGCCTTGGGGCAGGCAGGCCATTTGGAAAAAAATATGGTATAATCCAGTGAGAATATCACCAATTCAATTAGTGATGTATCACTACTAACATCAGTATACTACTCTGATTGGTGGTTTGGAACATGAATTTTATTTTTCCAGATATTGGGAATGTCATCATCCCAACTGACGAACTCATATTTTTCAGAGGGGTAGGTCAACCACCAACCAGAATCCCTTCCACAAAAAACGACGGATCCGATGAGAACCCCTCCGACTGAGAACTGCGAAAGTTGATGGCATCCCTGGTAGGTACGCCAAGAAGCGAAGGCTTGCTTTGAAGAGGCCAGGTCGCTGAAGGTCGGTCGAAGGCTTCGTCGAGCTGGGAATGGAGAGGAGTCTGAGCCATGAAAGTTGTTGATGTTTTAGTTTTAATGTTGGTGAATCAGATTCTAAAAAGAGATCTGGAGATCTTATCCAGCTTGCCGGCAGTTGATCTCAAGTGCCAAGGCTCCATTGGGGCATGCCAAGGATGAGTTTCCGACTGGCTTCCTGGAGGTGTGGATCTTATCCCTCACGGGGGCGGGAAATACCACATGGATTGAGTTGATTCCTTCCCAAGAAACCGATGGTCAAGATGGGTTTTCTATATGCTCATGATTCATGATCACTCTTCACCATATTCATATACCTTTGAATGATGGTTGTCAATACTTTGAGCATGATCATGAGTTGATGACTTCATAATCATATGTGCCATGATCCATCAGCGCCAGGGACAGGTGAGTGTAGTTGACTCTCCATACTGCGTGTCAAAACTTGGATTGTATACCCATCTTGGTGGGGGAGGGACATCAATCCATTACTACAGTAGGGATTTATATGCGTTTTTTTTTTCCGGATTCCCATTGTGTGGCATATATCGCATATGTTTGGTTATATCATGTTCTATATCCCCACTATATCCTAGTAGTTGAATCAGCATTTTTGTTGGGTAAAGCACCATTAGATCACGATGTTTTAAAGTTGAATCCCCAAAAAAACATGCTCAATCATCATTGGATCCAATTACATAAACCAGCATAAAATCCCATTGAATCAACATTAAATCTTAAATCACCATTAAGTATAATCGAATCACAATTCAATCTTATCAAGTCACCATTATATAAATCTTATCAAATCACCATCAAATCTTATTGAATCACCATTAAATCCTATAAATCCACCATTTTGACCCGGCTCTCGCCATATGGAAATCTGCAACGCTGCGACGTAGGAAGTCTTGCGCCGCGGCACGGATCGCATGTTGGAGAGTCCCACCAGCGAGAAGCCGGGGCTCGTGGAGGGAATGGTGGAATGATTCATCACTGTAAGCAATATTTTATAATTGGATATATGATATATATATACAGATATGTAAAGATGTCGAAAGATATATGAAGATACAGCGCGAGTGTTATGTAAGAATGTTGGTTGCCGATGGCCAGGGTCCCTCAATCTCTTATCGGAAAGGCCCCATGTATGTCAGTATATATGTACAATCATTCGGTCGAGGGTCCCTTAATTTCTTAGGAATTTCTTAATGTACTATTTCACAAGCAGTCAGATTTGAAGATGTAAGAGCGGGGTTGCCTCTGCGCTGCTTTCTTAGTGATGTATTGAGTTGAATCCTTACCCGGTGACGTCTCCTCTGCACAAGGCTCTTTTAAAAACCCTTACATGGTTAAGAAATTGAGGGGCTGGATTTCTTAGTTAAGTTATGTATTGAGTTGAGCCCTTACCCGGTGACTTCTATGGCGGCAACAAGGCAGCAAGGCAAGGCAAGGCAAGGCAAAGCAAAAAAAGGCAACGCAAGCAGAGGCCACAGGTGACCCACAATCTGGCTGGTGTCTGGCTGCTAGAGTTGCCTCTAGCATTGGTGACTGTGTTGTGGTTCGAACCTGGGCTGGTCCAGGCTGCGGCTTGTCATTCCCAACCTTGCCGTGGTTGTGCAATGTTCATTTTGGCGGGTATTTGGTTTCAAGGGAGGCTGGCTCCACTTCCCGCTCCAAGTAGAATCTTTTTACACCGGTTCATGGTTAAGAAAATTGAGCAGGGGTGCAAAGGGGCTCCTTCACATACATGTAAATTTCATAGCCTTTAAAATTCCATGGTGCCTCAATCCCTTAACTTCCACTTGCATATATATTCCACAAAACATATATGCGGCAAAAAAATCCAGCCCCTCATTTTCTTATACAAGGAATTCTTATACAGTGCTTGGACTGTATATCAAGATATGTAACTATATCTATATATATATATAAACATGCATATATATAAATATAAATAAAGATATATACATATGTATACAGATATGTATATATATATAATACTATATAAATGTCTATACACGGAGCGGATGGATATAGTACATTTTTCTTTTGTATATATATATGTATAGATACACGCACCCACACATATGTGCCTACATATACGTATGTGTACACATATGCAGTAGATGAGTGTATACATATACAGATTACATATACAGATGTATTTAATACGTCTATACATATACATACATGTAATATAATATTATCTCACACAACCCATCCTGGAAGTCCCTATGAACCAAGCGCACAAGTGAAGCATCACAGTGCCCAATGCACTGAGGGGACTCTATGGATTGGAGGACTGCTGATGCCGGCGATGGGGGATGTGGATTGAAGGTGGGGTTAGCCTCCACAAGGTTGGCTGGTTTACAATTGATGTAACTAGGGTTTATGCGGATATAAAGAAACTGACCTATAAATTTCATTGCATTGATTTATAAGCTGGTTTATGTGCACATATATACTCAGACAGTTTATAAATCAACTTAAATAAGTATACTTATTTTTTTCTGGGGGTATTCTTTCCAATATAAAAACGTCTGTAACGTCCTTCGCAAAGACCCCCTTAAACTAGCTGACGGTATCTAAGACTGGTGTTCATGATTGGGTGCCCCCAAATGATTTGGCTGAAACAACATCAGCAACCTCAAATGATCAAATCCTGTAAATGACGTTTGGTTTGAGAGGGAACGCACAAAAAACATATTGTTTGACAAATCAGGTTTGGTCTCTGAATCAAAGTTTGCCATACTCCTCCAGCAGTGATTCAAAAGCATCTCTGGGCCCCTCCGAAGGATGCCCAAATGGAAGATGCTGCCGACGTTCCGTGCAGGCCACCAGCTGTGCAGGCCCGGGGTTGGGATTGGCAGCCAGAATTTAGGATCGGACTCCAAAAATCTGGATGTTCTGCGCGAGTTTTTAAAAAAAGATGCTGTACCAGCAACAAGAATCATTGACCCATGATATTTAGAGAGTTGGAACCATGATGGTTATTTTTTCGCAGTTTTTTTTCCGTCTAAGTTTAGTTGGTTTCGTTGACAAGGAGTGTGAGCATTCGTCGATAACGAGTGTGAGCAATAGCCACACGTTCCATGTGTTTGGTGCAATTACCTTCATAACTCAATTCTTTTTGCAGGTTCATTTGCAGGTGAAACATCGACCCTTAGATGGTATGCATGGGAATCAAGCGTGTTTGTTGGGTGTGTCTCTAAATTCAAGGATCCAGATGTTTATTCATTGAGAAACTTGGATAGTTCAGGGGATTCAGCCGATGTCACCATGGGCTTCCCGACTTAGTGGGATGATCCTCAAACCATTCGTCAGGGTGAAGGCACCGAAAACACGGCAGAGAAGGATGAGAAGGTAGACGTGGAGGATGCTTTGATCCAAGAGGAACAAGTTGTTGAGAAGGTAGAAGAGAAAACGATGGGTGAGGAGAAAATTGAGGAGAAAGCGGTTGAAGAAGAGAAAGTGGTTGAAGAAAAGGTGGTTGAGGAAGAAAGGACGGTTGAAGAGGTGGCTGAAGAGGAGAATGTAGAAGTACAAGAGAAGCTGGTAGTTGAAGAGGAGCAGGTGGAGGAGACAACAGTGACTGTCAAAGACACACTGATGGAAGATACCCATGTGACCGAAAAGCAGAAACTCATCGAGGAGAGCGTGGAGGAGGAGAAACTGACGGATCCAAAGCAGATCCCGCAGCTCCCTGGATTTGCTTCGTTTTGCTGTTTGATTTCCAACCTTTTTGGTCCATAAATGGACGCCCTTTTAAATGGCGAATCTGGGACGAACCGCATATTTTTGGGCCCGGAGCCAAGCCAAGGCCGGCAGTTGAACCGGAGAAAGTCATGGAGACCTTGGAGACAGTGGAGCTGCCCGAGAAAGTGACCCAGGAAGCCCCTCGGTGCACAGCGTTGCGTTGCGCATGGTCGGGGGGGATCCTGCGGCAACTGCAACGGGGGTAGTTTCCCCAAAACACATCCGTTTGTCAACCATGGAGTAATAACAGCCCAGTATCCCACAGTTTCTTCATAATTGGCTCTCAAGATAATCATAAATTGCTCTGCTATTGTATACGTGGTCCCCATATGAAAATGAATGAAAAGTAACTGGCTGATGATTAGTCCTGGAGTACTAACTATTGTTACTATCCAGGCACGTGTCCCCAAGCGTAAATACAAAAAGATCACCAAAAAATGAATCCTTAGGGGACTGAACCTTGATTTTCCCATGGTTACGGCTTTTTCATTCCCCTAATGCTCCATAGATCATACTATCCAGGGACCAGGGATTTGACCAACCACGATCTGCTTGGGTTATTGACCCATCCCTATTCATCCCAAACAGTAGAGTAGAGAGTGTGTAATAAAACATATATTCAAACAACTATCCCGGCTCTCCCCATGTTTTTTACATTTTTTTACCATCCAATATCAAATCACGTCACGTACTGTAATGGTGGATAGTTGGGTTTATAGGTCAGAAGGATCCACCCCTGAAACTGGATGCTTCTAGATCCCCAAAATGACCAACCGTCATCATTCTTCGCTTCGGGAATAGGCTAACCGTTAGCAACCCATGAAAAATCGAATGCTTCGAGATCTCATTTGCCCCTTTTTTTTGATCACCAAACATGGGGGTAAATCCACCAGTGGACAAAGCACTGACAAAGCTAGCAAGCGGCAGCTGAGCTGAGGAAAAACTCGAGGTTCCGGCGGCAGAGGTTTGGGGATGGGGTTGTGTTGCTGGCCTTCAGCGAGTTTTTATTATATCTCATGGATATCAAGCATGACTTGTGGTTAAGAAACCCTGTGACTTCTTCAGAAACTGGTGCGTGTGCTAAATTTCAAACGCAGAGAATGGCTTCGGGAATGATCCACAGTGACTAGTTTCACTAGTTTCATTTCATCCCATTCCTCCATCACCATCCTGTTGATCCTCTTGGTTGATGTTGGGTATTCCGGAGCCCTCAAGGGTTCCTCATTGGTGTGACTGGATGGGGGGATGGAAGTTGACAGGATCGACATGGACAGATTTTGGGGGTCAAACTTTCCATAGTTATCTGGTTTCATATTACCAGTACTTTCCTGCAGGACACGGCAGTTTCAGGGTTTCTTGGAAGGTGTCCACTTGGATACGGCATGTTTCTATATATTACACACATATTAACATATGTTTGCAGACAGGACCAACATATCTTCCTGGGACATTTCCATAACTCTATTTAGCGTAGTTACTGCAAGTCCTTTGTAGTCCCTTTGTCACGTATGTTTCTGAAGTGAGGGTAAGTCTGATGTTCTCTTCCATACCGTTTGAATGAAACAATTGTGATGAGCATTTCCTGCAATCAAACCCAATTTTGGGATTTCAGATTTCCTGATGGGTAAGCAATGGAGTCTTCGTAGACTCAGCAGCTGCAATGGCAGCCAAACTAATCAGTTTGTAAGTGGCTGGTATTTCGCACGCAGTGTGCTGCCAATCAACCTCTTTCAAGGGTGAAATGCTCAACTTACAAACCATATACAGTTCTAAAGATCGTCCAGACAAGTCCTTGATTATTGGTTTATATGGGCACCAATGGGGATTATCGGTCAATTCTGATCCACTGCAGATTGCCACTACACTATCATCATTTTCCAAGGCCAAATGAGTTTGTGAGGGTAACATAGGGTAACTATTTTCAATCCATATGAAAAACCTGCCATTACGAGCATGAGTTTGCATTTTTCCAAGCCTCTTGGTACAATCACTGCTGATCAAAATGGTCGGTATACCCTCCAGCATGGCATCCCGCGCTAAAATTGCCCGGCTTGCGTGTGAAGGCAAAAGAAACACCAAAGGATGAGGGAGAGGAGGTAGCTAAACCAGCCCTGTACACTTGGGTCCAGGAACCACAGGATGGAGCTGGTTTGTTCGAGAAGACTTGGGGTACCCCAAAGCATTTGTTTCCACATTAGACCTGACCGATTCTGGATGATTTTCGGGTCCACATTTTAGAAATCTTCACATGAAGGTCCATTTTGATACCGTGAAACTTGGGTGAAACAGGTGAGCAATGCGCAGTAAATCGCTGTTGGTTGATACGATATGATATGGATATGGAATGATATAGAGTATATGGATATATGAATATATATATATATAATGTATAGATATGAATCATGTGTTGCCTTCAAAACTCCGTAAATTTGGAGGTAGAGAGAGACTCATCATTTTTTGAATTTCCCTGATCAAAGCGGAAGAGGCATTGGCCGGTGAGCTACACATGTTCTTTTTGTCTTCTTTGTCTATGTTTCTGGGGGTATATTTCAGCTATAACAGCATGATTGTTGGGGTAAATGTAGACATATCCCCTACATGGATGATGTGTAGCTCGTCATGCGTTTGTAATTCCTGCGTAGATCCAATTTCCGTGACGATGCACCGATGTGTTTGGATAGGCCGTCATAAAACCCCAGCATCACTGCAATAAAGTAGATGTTTCGTACATGATAGTACATTTCCTGTGACCATACTCAATACTCCCCTGATGCCTGTTGATTTTCCGACTTGCCCCAGGCAGGATTTACTGTCCATATCATAAGCATAACGCTCCAGTTTCATGTTCAAATGACGAGGATTCTGATACTCAGCAGTTTTGTGTCATTGTGATCGTTGACCCTATTGCCTCAAAACAAGCTCATGGTCACTTTTGTAATCACTTCGGAGACCAACCCAAGATCAAATTCTGGGGAACTTTTTGTGGAGCGCCGACTCATGGATGGCCAGTGCTACGGTGAACAGTAAAACAATGATAGAGTTGATAATGATGATCATGATGGTAGTAACATGGCAAAGCCAATCATAGTGAGACTATACAAACCCCGAGTATTACCAATGATGTTTGGGATTGCAACCATTCCTCAAATGGTAGGTTCAGTATTGGGTTTACCTCCTTACATCTGATTTTTTCCTTCGAATCATCCCATCTTAAGAAACCTCCCATCAAATCCCATCTTCAGATGCCAATTCAAATTTCCCTCCAGCATAGACCCTGAGAATCAGCATAGACCCTGAGAATCACCAAGTTTTAGTGGTTTCACTAATCTTCCAACCCTTGCCATGGTCGAACTGTTGGAGGGTGCCAGATGCTCCTGTCACCAGGTCAAAGAGCTGCCAAAGAGCCTCGTGCGGGGACCATGTTGGCTGGTGGCTTGTTTGGTCAACTGATGAACGCACCCAACGCATATCATATTTAAACCAAGGTTGGTTTGGAGTGTGTTGGAAAGTTCAACTCATATGCCACAAACAATATGTTATTCGGGGGTTCGAGAGTTGGCCCTGAATCCAAGCATATCTGACCTGCACTTCCATTCCGAAGAATGCATGATGGTCTTCATGTTTGGAAATGGATCCTTGGGAATGGACATTTGACATCCTTTTTGAGGTGGCAAAGCCAATAGAAAGCCAATAGCAAGCCATATTAAATGCCGAGGCGGAGCCAGAGGCCGCTCCCTTCAAGGCCCTGAAGGTGCGGGTGGCTGAACATATATAGAACAAACTAGGATGAACTCACCAGTGAAGTGAATATGTTGGTTTTGTTGTTCTGAATTTGGATAACATATTGCACATACTTGCATATATATATATATATATACATACACACACACACATATATTAAAGGGCTACGCCCTCTGCCGCCGACCCCTGGACACTGGAGGGTCATGCCTGCCTCTGTGTCGTAAGCATGAAATGAACCCTAAAGAAACCAGAAACTGACCTAAACAAACCATTTGTATGTGCGTTTGGCACTGTGCACATGCAAGCAGCATGGACCCCTGCAGGATGACACGCACAACTATGTGCTCTGACACTTTTTCATGGCTCAAGAAATAGGAGCTTTCGTCATTGGGCAGGTGTCTTGGGGACCTAAAGGGTTGCTCTAGCACTTAAGACCCGTACCCGAAGCCCCCGTTCGTAACCGCAGTATGAAACTTGAAATGGCATCCTAAAGAGACCCGAGACGACACTGCACTGCCAACTGCCACCCTGCTCGTGTCCTCCTGGAGCCGGCTTTCGTTCTGCACCGCTTCGGTCCAAGCTGGAGTCCAAGGACCGTGTCGCAGGGCTAAACCACCATGGCAGTGAAGGACCCCAGACTGCCAAACGTCACTTTCTGAACCGACTAGAAACTAGCTCCAAACCTTGACTTTTCCTGCGTTTCTGCACTGCCAACTGCCACCCTGCTCGTGTCCTCCTTGAGCCGGCTTTCGTTCTGCACCGCTTCGGTCCAAGCTGGAGTCCAAGGACCGTGTCGCAGGGCTAAAACACCATGGCAGTGAAGGACGGATTAGGCCCGCGGCCCGTATCCCAGACTGCCAAACGTCACTTTCTGAACCGACTAGAAACTAGCTCCAAACCTTGACTTTTCCTGCGTTTCTGCACTGCCAACGGCCACCCTGCTCGTGTCCTCCTG